ACCACATGTAGCTACAGGACTGCGGGCAAGCACAGGGTGAACAGGTGGTGGGACTAGGGCACCCGGCTGGGCTGAGCTGCGTTCTCCTGCATCCCAGCGGGAGCTGCCACCTCCGGCCCTGCCGACCGGCATCGCTCGCTCCAAGTCCAAGCATGAGCTGAAGTTGCTGGAGAAGATCCCGGAGAATGCTGAAGCTACGGTGGTCCTCGTGGGTATGTGGGGGGCATCTCGGGCATGGGGGCTCTGGCAGCAAGATGGAGGGGTGCCGCCCAGGGGCTGGCTGGAGGCTGGGAGACAGCCAGACCCTGCTTGTGCCCGCATGGTGCCTGCCCCTAGGCTGCGTGGAGTTCCTCTCCCGCCCCACCATGGCCTTCGTCCGGCTGCGGGAGGCAGTGGAGCTGGACGCTGTGCTGGAGGTCCCGGTGCCTGTGCGGTTCCTCTTCCTGCTGCTGGGCCCACGCACGGCCAACATGGACTACCACGAGATCGGCCGCTCCATCTCCACCCTCATGTCTGACAAGGTCAGCCCCGCCCCAGAGCCCTCCTGGATGCCCCCTAACCGTCGTGCCCAGCCCTGCTCTAGCCCCCGGCCTTCATCTTGTGCCCTCACAATCCTGATCCTGCTTTGGCAGCAATTCCACGAGGCAGCCTACCTGGCAGATGAGCGGGAGGACCTGCTGACCGCCATCAACGCCTTCCTGGACTGCAGTGTGGTGCTGCCGCCCTCGGAAGTGCAGGGCGAGGAGTTGCTGCGATCTGTTGCTCATTTCCAGCGCCAGATGCTCAAGAAGCGGGAGGAGCAAGGCCGGCTGTTGCCCATGGGGGCTGGGCTGGAGCCCAAGTCCGCCCAGGATAAGGGTACGGGCCAGCGCAGGCCAGGGGCCGGGACAGGGCTGGCTGGGGTGGGGGCTTCTGGGGTCAGGTTGGGGCACCTGTGTGTATGTGGAGGAGAGCGGGGTGGGTAGGACGGGGCTGCAGCAGGGGCCCTGATGGAGGCCTGGGTTGCAGCGCTCCTGCAGATGGTAGAGGCAGTGGGTGCAGTGGAAGACGATCCCCTCCGGAGGACAGGCCGGCCCTTTGGGGGACTGATCAGAGATGTGCGACGCCGCTATCCCCACTACCTGAGTGACTTCCGAGACGCGCTGGACCCCCAGTGCCTGGCTGCCGTCATCTTCATTTACTTTGCGGCCCTGTCTCCTGCCATCACCTTCGGGGGGCTGCTGGGTAAGGAGAGGCTTCGGGGCAGGGGGGGCATGCACAGGGCCCCAGCCGCCAGCTCCTCAGCTGGTTCCTGCCACCCCAGGAGAGAAGACACAGGACCTGATCGGGGTATCAGAGCTGATCATGTCCACGGCGCTGCAGGGTGTGGTCTTCTGCCTTCTGGGCGCCCAGCCACTGCTGGTGATTGGCTTCTCAGGGCCCCTGCTGGTCTTTGAGGAGGCCTTCTTCTCGGTAAGGGTCCACAGACTCCTCGGACTAGCTCTTCCCACCTGCTCCAGCTGCCCCTCGTCTACCCCAGGACTCCTACCCTGCTATCCCTGGCTCTGGACCGGACCACACCCCCCTCTCCTCCCCCAGTTCTGCAGCAGCAACAACCTGGAGTACCTGGTGGGCCGTGTATGGATTGGCTTCTGGCTGGTGCTCCTGGCACTGCTCATGGTGGCCCTAGAGGGGAGCTTCCTGGTGCGCTTTGTCTCACGGTTCACCCAGGAGATCTTTGCCTTCCTCATCTCCCTCATCTTCATCTATGAGACCTTCTACAAGCTGGTTAAGGTGGGTAGGCCCTGCTGAGAACGGGGCCAGGAGGGGGCAAGGCCTCAGGCCTGGAGGGATCCCGGGGTGGTGTGCTCTCCCTTGCTCTCTCTCCTGGGTGCGAGGTCTCACTGCCCGGAGTGTCCCCTGGCTGCAGTCCCAGGTGCCCAAAGTTCTTCATCCTGTGCCCTTACTATCCTCCTGTCACCAGCACACACATACCAGGGCTTCAGATCAGTCTTAAAACACACATATTTTTAATAACAAAGGTAACACGTGCTCTCATTAAAGTGGCAAACAGTCCAGAAATGTGAAAGGGAAAGGCCCCCGAGATGACAGTCCCATTCTGGGCATCACATCCATGTCTGTGTCAAGCTCAGAAGACTTGTCCCCAGAGCCCCCTGTGCCCCATGTCCTCCTCTAGGCCTGGCTGGAGCCACACTCCCCAGCTGCCTTCCCAAATTAGACCAACCCCTCTTTTAATCCCCAGTTGCCCTGTACTCCGATCCGGTTACCTGATCATTTTCTTAAGGCAAACTCCTTGACGGCACGCTGGCCATCCCCCATCCTACCTGTCCCGCTCGGTAAGCTCAGCCTGGGAATCTTTCCAGTTCAACTGACAGGCTCCTTTGCCTCTTCGCAGATATTCCAGGAACACCCCCTCCACGGCTGTTCAGCCTCCAATAGGTCCCAGGCAGACAGCAGCGAGAATGCCACTTGGGCTGGGGCAGGAGCCACTCTGGGGCCTGGGAACGGGAGCTCAACCAGGCAGTCTGGGCAGGCGAGACCCCGAGGCCAGCCCAACACGGCCCTGCTGTCGCTGGTGCTCATGGCCGGCACCTTCTTCATTGCCTTCTTCCTGCGTAAATTCAAGAACAGCCGGTTCTTCCCTGGCCGAGTATGTGGGCTGAAAGGCTGGAGGGAGGTGGGAGCTGGGACAGCAAGTGGGGAGTCGGATTTAGGGCCGGAGTGCGAGGCAGAGAGCCTCTGAGCGTGGTGCTTGTCCACAGGTGCGGCGGGTGATTGGGGACTTTGGGGTGCCCATTGCAATCCTCATCATGGTGCTTGTGGATTACAGTATTGAGGACACCTACACACAGGTGAGGTGGAGCACATGCAGCAGTGAGGAGGTGCTGCCTGGCACTGGGCTTGGGGTGTTTGCCTCTAGTCCCCCAACCCCAGAGGGGTGGACTGGGTAGATGCCAGGCCTTTACCTCAGCATGCTGTCAGCATCACCTTGCCCAGTGCAGCTCAGGGCTCTCCCTCCGAGGCTCACTGGCCCCTGGCCCTGTCCTCTGCCCTGCAGAAACTGAGCGTGCCCAGTGGATTCTCAGTGACAGCCCCAAAAAAGCGGGGCTGGGTCATCAACCCCCTGGGGGAGAACAGCTCCTTCCCTGTGTGGATGATGGTTGCCAGCCTGCTACCCGCCATTCTAGTCTTCATACTCATCTTCATGGAGACCCAAATCACTACGTGAGTGGCCCTAGCCAAGGGGGGTGCTGTGCGAACAGGAGCTACCCGATGCATGGAGGGGCCAGAGCTGTGGCCAGGCTAAGGGGCACAGCTGCACTGGGTGAGGGAGCCCAGGATGCCAGGCTAGCTGCTGGAGTTCATTGTGTAGGCAGCAGAAAATCCCACTGACATTTGTTTGCTGGGATGGGTGCAGGACAGCTGGAAGCTGTCCCAAAGGGCAGGGAGGGCAGCACGGACAGGGTTCGGCTCTTTGACAGCTTTGATAGAATGGGCAGGGGCCACCAGGTTCCCAAAACAGGCAACTAGCTAGGTGTTTCCAGGCACCCGTGCCTGGAAAGGCACAGTTGCTGCTGAACTGGGCGCAGGGCCCGGGCCTCAGTGAGTGCCTGTCCCTGCTCAGGCTGATCATCTCCAAGAAGGAACGCATGCTGCAGAAGGGCTCAGGCTTCCACCTGGACCTGCTGCTCATTGTGGCCATGGGTGGCATCTGTGCCCTCTTTGGCCTGCCCTGGCTGGCTGCTGCCACCGTCCGCTCCGTCACTCATGCCAACGCACTCACCGTCATGAGCAAGGCTGTGGCACCTGGAGACAAGCCCAAGATCCAGGAAGTCAAGGAGCAGCGGGTGACAGGGCTGTTGGTCGCCCTACTTGTAGGTATGTTCACCTCTTGCCCGCACCTTCCCAGAGCAGCCTGTGGAGGTGGGGAGACCTGGGGCCAACTGTTCCTTCTCCTCCACCAGGCCTCTCCATGGTTATCGGGGACCTGCTGCGGCAAATTCCCCTGGCTGTGCTCTTTGGAATTTTCCTGTATATGGGAGTTACTTCCCTTAATGGGATCCAGTTCTATGAGCGGCTGCACCTGCTGCTCATGCCACCCAAACACCACCCAGACGTCACCTATGTCAAGAAGGTGAGACCCCACTTGGGAGGGCCCCTTGCCTCTGTCCCTTCCTGGTCTGTGTGGGTCAGCCTGCAGGCCCCCATCTCCCCACTCTGGCCGGCCACCATTCAGTCTGTGCACACCTGGCTCTGGTAAGCCCCTGAGAAGGCACTTCTATCCCTAGCCGGTGGAGGGAAGGGGTCAGCTGTCCTCTGGCTGTGGCAGGCTGGACAGTCCTGCGTGGACCAGGGCCCAAAGAGACTGGGCAGAGGCTTGGGCTTAACAGTCTCATCCCCTCCCAGGTTCGAACCCTCCGAATGCACTTGTTCACGGCTCTGCAGCTGCTGTGCCTGGCCCTGCTGTGGGCTGTCATGTCCACAGCCGCCTCCCTGGCCTTCCCCTTCATCCTCATCCTCACAGTGCCGCTCCGCATGGTGGTGCTCACCCGCATCTTCACCGAGCGGGAGATGAAATGTGTAAGGCCCCCTTCCCCCCCCCGCCCACGCCCCTGTGGCCTTGTCCCAGGCCAAGGTTGGGGTCAGCCTTCCTGATGCCATCCCCCCACAGCTGGATGCTAATGAGGCGGAGCCGGTGTTTGATGAGCGGGAGGGAGTCGATGAGTACAACGAGATGCCTATGCCTGTCTAGCTGCTGCCCCAGTGGACAGTGAGGGACGACGGACAGAGGAAGTGGGCTGGGGGTGCTCTCCCCCCACTCCTCCTTTTTATTTAAGTAAATAATTTAAAGTCCTCTAACTGCCCCCACCTCAGTAAAGTGCTTTGGTCCTCACCTATCTCTTGCTCTATGTCTCTCTGGGGGTGGGGGTGGGGGTACATGAAAAGAGGTGGGGGGCCCTGCCAGCTCCCTCTCCCAAAAATGAGATGCACCATGGGGAAAGAGACTTTAATGAAAAACCAAAACAAAGGAATTCAAAGTGCAAATTGTCCACCCCCCATAGGGGGGCCAAACTGAACCCCAAGTACACCCCCTCACCCCCCTTCAGGCCCCCAGCGGAGGCCCAAGGCCTGGAGCTTCTGCCTCAGGTAGCTCTTGAGCTGGGGCAGGCCTCTCTGCGACTCCAGTTCCTCGAAGGGCAGCTGCAGGGGAGAAGCAGCAGGTCACCCACAGTGCCTACGGGGCTGGCGACAGGGCCCAGGGGGGTGGGGGCAGGAGGCTCTCACCGGCAGGAGCTGGTAGCCCATCAGGCCTAGGTGCCGCTCCCGCAAGGCCCGGGAGCCCAGCAGCACTCGGCCATCCCGGCAGAAATGCCAGCGTTCCCGCAGCATCAGCACCACCCTGGGGAGGAGCAGACCACAGCTCAGGATCACTGCCCCAGCAGGCCGGGGAGACGTGCCCGCCCTCTTCCCTTACCTTTGGGCAGGGTCACGGGTAGTAGGCTGAGAGGCAGCCTGGCCCTGGCGACAGAACCGGGGAGGGTACGGTAGGAAAGGGTCCTGGGTGTTCACGGGAAGCACAGCACCAGCACTGCTGACACACAGCAGGAAGTCTGGAGGCCGGAAGAGAATGGGCCACAGGCTTTTAGCCCAGGCTCCACTTCCCCGGCCGCCCCCACCCACCTGGAGCTCACCTGTGCAGTAGCCCGGAGGCACGGTCAGGTCCTGGCGGTACTTCTCCTCCCCCAGCAGCTGGCGCAGCCCCTCAGCTACTATATCCTTGTGACTGAGAGGGGAAAAGGACACTGATTCCTGGAAAGGCCCAGGAGTCTCCTCCTAGCTCAGCAGCCTAGCCCCTCAACCCTGGGCAAATGCCTTCTTTGCCTCAGGGCCCATTTTACTTCCTGACTGCTAAGAGTGTAAAAGCATGGACAGTTCAGGGCCCCTTGGCTTTTCTATTCTGTGCTGCTTGCGGGCAGGTCCCTTCCCTTCCCCAGGCTGCCCCAGCCACCTGTACTTGCGGCGGGCACGGTCGGTGATGAGTGGCTGGGGGAAGATGGGCACTTGCTGCCTTCGGGGAAGGCGAGGACCCCGGTATCCTGGGAGCTCCAGCTCCACAGCCATGTCTAGCAGGGAGAGGTAGCGCCGCACAATCAGGGCATGAGGGGTGCCTGCAGGAAAGCAGGACTGAGATTTGCTGGGCTGCGGTGCCCCCAACCCCCGTTTCCCTGCCCACTGGCCTCAGGGACTCAGCCAGCCCTGTCTGCGCACCACTGATGTGGTTGATGAAGCCTGGGGAGAAGACAAAGTGCAGGGCACGGGAGGGCAGGCACTGCAGCTGGCACAGTGACATCAAGATGTTGACAGTGGCCAGGGGGGCCACCCCTGCTTCCCGAGCCAGGATCCTCTCAAGGCAGGGCATAAACTGCTGCTCCAGTGGCAAGTAGTTCAGCCGCCCAAAGGGCAGGACTAACTTCTGTACCACCTGTGGAGGAAGAGCAACCCATCACCCAGAACGAAACAGCTCTCCGTTACCCTGTACAAGCTGAACCTCAGACAGGCTTAGCCTGCAAGCTCATAACACTATAAAGGCTGAACAATCCCTCTACCCCTGACACATACACCAGAAATATAACCAGTGTCTTGAACCCCATGTGATTAATCACCAAAGAAGCCAGGCAGACATCACTGTGGGGTCTGGCACTGAAGACTTAAGAGAGAAGTGGGATCAACGCAGTTCGGCTGAGTACTTGCAGAGCTGCAGAGCAGGGCAGTTGGACAAGCCAAGAGAGGGTGTGAGCAAGATGGACCCCTGGGAGGCAGAGCAGAGCCTCGGGCTGTTTGCTGCAGGAAGCAAGTCAGGCTGGCTAGGGTGCTGGGCCTAACGGGGTGGTTGAAGATGACTAGGAGAAAAGCATGGGAGGGTGGGAGGCAATCCCACCTTGCTGCTGAGCTGGACTTCCTGGACCACCAGGAAGTGGGCAATGGCTTCCAGAAGCTGGGGCTCCCGCAACCGGTGACGGGCCAGGTGCTGGGCCAGGAGCACCATCACATGGGGTGTCAGTTCCTCTGGCCTGGCCTCTGCAAAGAACAGCCTATCAGGCTGGACATTCAGGCCAGACCTCCAGACTAGATTCCTCCTTCACCCACACTGCCTGCTGCCTCCTCAGTCCCTACCCCCACCTGCCTTTCGCCCCCTCCAGCACCTGCCAGGCTGTGGATGAGGTGCTGCCGTGGATGCCGCAGGAAACGGGGGCAGCTCAAAGCAGCCTCCAATCTTTGTCCACCAAGGACAGGATGCGGAGGGGGAGGTGGCTTCGGAGGGAGGCGGAGCCTTCGCTCCTGCTCCAGGGCACACACCAGGGGCCCATCTGTTGGGAAGCCTGAGAGGGAGAGGGTCAGAGGAGGCAGTTCTGGTAACAGGGAGTTGCTCTGCTTTGCTCCAGTCAGGGAGTTCAGTTAATGAATTCCCAACCTTTCTCTGAGATCTCATGTTCTGGGTTGAAAGGGTTGCTATGGTGTAAGTGGAAACACTAGAGAAATGTGAAACACATGTGAATGTAAGGTGTCAGAAGTCTGTGGGGAAGGCCTTATACAAAGCTGGCAAGTTCTTGTCTCATGCCAATGGTGCAAATTATGGTGGCTTCCTAGAACACGTTAGGAGGGGGGAAACCCTGGCTAAGCCAAAATGAATGCTGCTTGATCCCTGCTGGCTGTCATGGACTCAGGAGGGCAGTGGCAAGTGTGCTGGGCTATGCTGCCATTCCTGGTAAAGCCTGAGAGTTGAATTCTGTCAGTGAACTTGGGTCCTCTACTGCTCTTTGCCTGTTCTTCCATTAACACCCCCACCCCCCAGGCATCCTCCTCACCAAGTAAGACTGCAAGGTGCAGACACACGTGGATGGTGTGAATGTCAAAGGAGGGGCAGTTTCGGATGATGAGCTGACTCAAGTCCTTCAGAGTGGCCTGCTCCACAGGAGGGGGCTGTGGCTGAGACCTCAAGAGCTGGCCCAGACGATGAAGTGCCACCGGGTAGTGATGGGCACGCACCTTGGTCGGGTTCTGGCCCAGCCAGCGTAGCAGCTCCCCAGGGCTCCTTGCCTGTTCCAGAAGCCGCTGCAGCCCCTGCACAGGGCCTGCATGGGGCCCTCTTCCAGGAGGCGGATCCCCCCACTTGCTGGGCCCCAGACAGCAGGGCTGTACTGACGGGAGCAGCAGCAGGCCAGACAGCCGTGCAGTGGAGGCCTGGGTAGAGAGCAGGACTCGAAGCATGGAGTTGGGTGACGGAGACCCTGAAGGGTGGCCCAGAAAAGACGGTGAGGTTTTCTCCAAAGGGGAGAAAGACCTGCTATCTACTGTTCACCTCACTCCCCATCTGGAGGGGCCTCGGCTCAGAGCAACCCAGACTTATGTTCATCCTTCTCTGTGACTGCTCTGGTCCTCTTCCCCACCTAGCCCTTATCTCCTCCTATCCTTACAAGCAGCAATCATAATCCTTCAGTGTCCTCAGCGCAGTAATATTTACAAAGCAACTCCACATGCATTAAGTATCTCTTCTGATCTTTACACGCCTATGAAGGAGTAGGTAGGACTGTCATTACCTCGATTTCACAGGTGGAGAAACCAAGGCCCAGAAAGGCGAAAGGGTTAAATTAAGCCCGAGGTCACGAACAGGGTTAGTGGTCGCGCCCAGCCTGGTGCCCGGCTCGCTCCGTCGATACGACCCCCCGACCACCTCCCCCTCCCGCAGGAGGCGGCGGCGGCACGGAGAACGGAACGCGGGCTCCGCAGCCGGACGGTCCTGGGTTCCATGCTGGGCGCTCCCACTTACCAACTGCGTGACCTTGGCCGAGTGGCTTCGTCTCTCTGCCCAAGCCTCCTCACCCGTGAAAGGAGAACTCTGCACCCACTTGGCAGGGCACCCGCGTAGCCCGAGTGCGCAGCTTCGCAACCGCGCGAGTCGGCTGTGTCAGGGTCCCCACACCCACCCGGCCTGGGGGCCCGGGAGACCGTGGTCACGGTCGCCAACACCAACTTCCGCCACCCTCCCGCGGCACACCCCAAAGGCGCCACCCCTACATGACTCCCCAGGCCCCGCGCAGGTCGCTCCCTCAGTCGGTCTCGGGGCCCGGAAGCCGGGTTCCCCCCGCGGCCTCCTCATCGGCGGGCCGCCGGGTCCGCCATCTTCCCAGCAGCCCCCAAAACACGGCCCAAACGTGAATCGCGGCTCTGTGCTCAGCCAGCAAAGACGTGGCTCCCGTCAGGCCCCGCGCGCCGGGGCTCCGCGAGCTCCGCTCCTTACTTCCGGGAAGCTGCTCCGGGCTCGAAACAGGAGGGGCGGAGCCAAAAGGCTGGGCGCTGAGCCTGGGGCGTAAAGCTGAGCGGAAGTCAACCTGCGAAGGGTCCTTTCCGCGCCCTGCGCTCTTCTCCGGGAGGGGGAAGGCGAGGGCGGCCCCCCAACCCCAGGGGCCCCCACACACACTCACAAAGAGTGAAAATTCACAGTTCTTTAATCCGCACATGTTCCAGAGAACCCCTCCACCCTTCCCAACCCCTTCCCCAGCCCCCCGCGGTCCCTGGATCCCCAAACCAGCCCAAGATGCTCTGGGGCTAGAGGCGGCCGGGCGCTCAGGCAGAACACTAAGGCGGGCCCAGGGGCGCGGCCGGGCTCTGCCCAGGGTCGAGGCACTGACAGCAGCTGCCCGACCCCCTGGGGCCCACAGTCAGTGAGGGCTGAAGGCCAGCAGCCCCGGGCAGCCCAGAGTCACGGAGGCCACAGGGAGGGGCCTCGGCGGGGCCCTGAAGGGCTCTGCGGCGCAGGGCAGGGCTCCAGGGAGGTGGGAAGAGGCAGGCGGGAGAGGCCGGCCTGGGCAGACAGCAACTCCCACCGCGTCGTGGGGAGCAAGGTCTGGAGGGGCCGGCGACACTGCCGAGGGCCCGGGGAGGCACTACGGGCGGTACATGGCGAAGGCCAGGAGACTGAGCAGCAGCGTGAAGCCGGCCAGGCCCAGAGTGGCGGTCAGGGGAAAGAAGGGCCGGTACTGAATCTGGCAGTACCACAGCAGCAGCAGGAGGAGTCCCAGCAGGGGCAGCAGCAGCCCGCCTACCTCCAGCCCGGAGGGGCCTGGCTCGGACCCCGGTGGGCAGGGCGGGCGTGGCGGCCCCACCCGAGGGGACACGTGGCAGTGGAGAACGCAGCTGGGAGGGAGATGAAGGCTGCCCAGGGTCTGGGTGTCGTCTCCTAGCAGCTGCCCTTGGTAGATGAGTCGCACTTGCTGTTCCCGGCCCGGAAACTGGGTCCTGAGGAGAGAGGGACCTGGGTAAGAGAGCAGGCCTCAGGCAGTCCTGGTCCCTCGCCCAGAACAACACTCCCACGCCTCACCTCTGCCCTCCACCCACCACCCAGGTCATGGCCTCCAAGAGGATCCCCTCCAGCTACAGGGGAATAGCAGAGTGTTCCATTTGGGGACCTCAGTTCCCTTATCTATAAAATGCAGGGGGAGTCCCAGAAAACGCTGGCGGCCCTTCCAGGTCTGTGATCACTCCCACCCACTGTTCAGCATTTCTTTTCTGTCCTCATTCCAGCTTACCTTTTCAGGGAGCCGATGGTGTCATGGGGCCAGGCCCTGGCCACCTGCTCTGAATCGTTGAGGAATTTCAGTCGGAGCACCAGGGGCTCCTGCGGGGAGTCCGGGGGTGGCAGCGTTGTTGCAAGCCCTGTGCCAGGCTCTGGCTGAACGGTGTGGCCCCTGTGTCTCAGGCTGGGGGTCTCAGCGCCTGGGGCCTCTCCTCTGATGCTGTCGGTGACTGCCATGGCTTCACTGGGTTGTGCTGGTGTTGGGGTCCCTGATGGCTGGGGCAGTGGGTTGGTGCCCTCGGAGGTGTGTGTTGAGACCCAGGCAAGTGCCAGCACCAGAAGGCAGGCAAGCACCGTGAAAAGGACGGTCACCTCATCACCCACCCCTTCAATCAGGGCCATGGCATCTGCCTTGCTGGCCACGCTACCGAGCTGGGGAGGCACAAAGAACCCATGAGGGGTGGGCCCACTGGCCGAGAGCTCTCTGAACCTCAGCAGGCTACTGACCCCACCCCACCGTAACTCGCCCACCTCTCATTCCTGTGCCCCCTTACCAAATCCCACCCCAGGGCACAGATTGCTCTGGTCACCCTAAACTTGCCTCGAGTAGCCTTTCCCATCACCAAATCCCAAGTCCTAACTTGCAACCCGAGTTCCAGGTCTTTCACCAGCTCCCCAGTTCACTCAAACACTGCGCCTAAGTAAGAACTTTAACCTTCTAAGCAGCCTCTCCCCTAAATTCAACCGTCACCAAACTTCACTCTAAAGTGACGGTCTACTTCATTCCAAAGCTAATAGATTTCATTCCAAAGCCTATCTACCCCAAAGTTTATCTACTCACTCGTTAAAGTTTAACCATGGGGGGAGAAAAAGGGCCTCTATGCCCACCCTCACCTCCTATTACCATTTACCCAAACCCCACCCGCGGCACGAGACTGTTTCCCAAGGTTTCCCCACACCAGACGTCAAACTCCGCCCTTAGGCAATCTGGAGCTTGGGACGGTTGCCACCCCTTGGACCAACTCGGTCCCTCCCGGCCCACTCAGCCCCACCCAGAGGCGGCTCGACTCCGCGCCCCCTCGGGAAGCCTCGCCGAACGCAGCTGGCTGGTAGACCCCAGAAGCCGCCCGGAAATCCTGGACTTCGCCCTCCCCGCCCCTAACCTCTCCAGCACTCCTCCCACCTTTCCGCCCCCACCAAGCCTCAGGAGGGCAAGAGCAATCCTGGGGCGGGGCGAGCGGGGTCCAGCTGGGGCCGGGGCGGCGGCGTGGGGGGGAGACGCGGTCACCGCGCAGGGACTCACCGCCCTGTTCCGCCAGCTCCATAGCGGACCGCGTTGGACGCTTCCGGGCGGGAGGCGCTGAGGTCGCAGACACCTGAAGGCACCCCCGCTTCCCCGCAGCCGCTTCGCGAAGCATTGTGGGACTTGTAGTCCCGCACAGTGCCCAGTCTCCGCCTGCCACCCCGCGGACCCACTTGCGCGGCACGGCGGGCTAATCGCTGAGGAGCCGGTGGAGACGGGCTTGGGGTTTGTACCATCCGCTAGGGATTTCCGCCCCCTCCGCAGCCTGCAGTCAGGGCTTCTGTCACTCCAGGAACTAGCGTCATCGGGATCACGTCAGAGCACCGTGTTTGGAGATGCAGGCTCTGGGGAGTTCAGGTGTCAAGTGGACTCGACAAGGCACCTTGGAGTCCTCCCCCACCCTCTCCCCCACCCCCTCCCCCATTGATTCTCCAACCCAGAGCCCAGTACCAAGGGCTGCTCCACCAGGTTGGCTGAGGATTCCCGCCCCTACGACTGGCCACCTCGGCTTGGGCTATCCTGTTTTCCCGGTCCCCTCTTCCACTTTGCCCCTGTAAGGCTGTGCAGGACATGAACGTTAGAACCTGGCACAAATACTGATCCCTTATCCTGTGTTTGTCCACTAAATGACCTTTGGGTGCATTATTGAACCTCTTTGAACTAAATTTCGTTGTTTGTAAAACATACCTCATAAGGCAATTGTGGGGAAGAAATCAGGTGTGTTTTATTAAATAAGTGTGAAAAACAGGTAAGGGATCTATCATGCAGTAGATACTTGCTCACCTAGTATTTATTAGTAGACTCCCCTCACCAAAATCTAGGCTTGGAAATTGGGTCCTTAGAGTTTACTGTGTAGAGGATGTTGAGCCCCAGCCTGGCCTGGGCCCCTAATTTCTGTGGGTTTTCCCTCCTTCCTCTGGGCTCCTATAGCTACAGAGATCTCACATCCTGTATTCTATAGGCCAGTCTTGATTAAATGTGATGTACCCCCAGGTGTTCCCATAGAACATCCCTACTTGTGGGAGCAAGTTCTCCAAGTGTTTCCTTGGGAAAGTCAGTTAAAATTTGTAACATACAGAACTAACTTATTTCTAGTTCCTTCCCATTCGTTAATTCTAGAAACATTTATTATATGTATACTATATGCTGGGAATACAATGGCAAATACAACACAGGTGAATGTGTCCCTGCCCTCATGTGGCCCACATATAATAGAGGAGACAGAGGTATAGAATGCCCAACTGTGCTAAGCCAGCTGTGTGCTGGCTGCATTTGAGGAGCTGTTTACCCTCAGCATCTCTCCTCGTATTTAGCTGGTACAAATTCTCACTGTCAACTGTAATTAAACATCTAAAAGAGATGTTAGACATTTTTTCTAGAATTTTGGATCACCAGCTAGATGATCTGTTCAACCACTTACTTTGCAGATGAAGTGCTGAGAGGGTACAGAACATCCTTGAAGTCAAACAGGTGGATAAGACCTGTATCTCAGGAGCTGGGGAGCCTTAGGTGTTATGAGCTTGCATCTGGTTCTTTGGAGAGTGGAGAACACTTAGGAATGGTGACTGGTTTGGTATTGGGGAACATTGTGGTGCTAACTGAATGGGAGGCAACTTTTTGCTGGGAAGAGACTCATGTTAGCCTGGGAAGTAGAAGTGTGTGTAAAAAGGATGGCGTGTTAACTGTCAGAGGACACAGAGGGACGCAGCCCTGGCAGGCTGATTGTTTGGGACCAGTGTCCTGCACATGCCAGCTCTTGTGGGTTTTAGGAAAGGTTGTGTTTGTGAGTGTTGGGGGGTGGAGGTGGCTAGAAGGACTGCAGCTCTCACAAATGGGGACGGAGAGAAACTGGGACATTGAAGGGAGCGCCCAGGACCCAGAAAAAATGGACAGGAACACAAGTTGGACAAGGGGGTGAGGACAGTTAAGAGAGCCATGTGGGCTCTGGTGAGTGAGGGAAGAAGGCATATTTGATTATTTCCCCTTCTTCCTCTATGCACCAAAGGGGTCCAGCGGTGGTCAGCTAACCCTCTCCGATCCGGCGGGAAGTCTTTTAGGAGATGCCCAGAAGATGAGTCCGAAGGGAGGACGATGTTAGCGTGGCACCTGGGCTGGCGACCCTCTGCCGCCAATCAGCCGCGTTCAGCAGTACCTTCAGGCGCAGGGCACTGTTCGGGCACTGCCCAGGAATCGGACACCCCCACGAGACCAGCGCACGGAGGCGAAAGCTACAGCCAGGGCCGGGAGGAGGCCAGAGCAGCGGTCCGCTCTGAACGAGTAGCTCACGCGGCGGGTGTGGGTGGGGCTGGAGAGGAGGCGGAAGGGCCCTGGCTAGGTGGGAGGGGCA